TACAGCATCCGTTCCTCTCCTCATCCTCAAACCTCCGTTCCTCCTCATCCTCAAACCTCCGTTCCTCTCCTCATCCTCAAACCTCCGTTCCTCCTCATCCTCTAGAATCCGTCCTTCTCACCATCTTCAACCATCCGTCCTCTCCTCAACATCCTCAATAATCCATCCTCTCCTCAACATCCCAAACATCCGTCCTCTCCTCACCATCTTCAACCATTCGTCCTCTCCTAAACATCCTCAAACATCCGTCCTCTCCTCAACATATTCAACCATCCGTCCCCCTGCTCATCCTCAAATATCCGTCCTCTCCTCATCTTCAACCATCCGTCCTCTCCTCATCCTCAAATATCCGTCCTCTCCTCATCCTTATCCAAGCATCTGTGTTCCTCCTCAATCTCCATAATTCTGTCCTCCTCAATTTCAGTCAACCGCCCTCCTTCCGAAAATACGCTTCTCATCTTCCTCCGTATTCAGAAATCCGTTACCTCTCCAATTTCAACCATCAGTCCCTCTCACAAACCTCAACTCATCCGTTCCTCTCCCAAACTTCACTCATCCGTTCTCCTGACCATCCTCAAGCATCCACCCCCCTCCTCTTCCTCAAGCATAAATCCTCCTCCCCCTTCTCATCCTCAAGCATCCGTCCCCCTCCTCATCTTCAAACATCCATCCCCCTCCTCATCCTCAAGCATCCGCCCCCCTCCTCTTCCTCAAGCATCGATACCCCTCCCCCTACTCATCCTCAAGCATACGTCCCCCTCCTCATCCTCAAGCATCCGTCTCTTTCCTCATCCTCAAGCATCCGTCCCTCTGCTCATCCTCAAGCATCCGTCCCCCTCTCTTCCTCAAGCATCCGTCCCACTCCTCATCCTCAAATATCCGTCCCACTCCTCATCCTCAAATATCCGTCCCCCTCCTCATCCTCAAGCATCCGTCCCTCTGCTCATCGTCAAGCATCCGTCCCCCTCCTCATCCTCAAGCATCCGTCCCCCTCCTCATCCTCAAGCATCCGCCCCCCTCCTCATCCTCAAACATCCGTCCCTCTGCTCATCCTCAAGCATCCGTCCCTCTGCTCATCCTCAAGAATCCTTCCCCCTCCTCTTCCTCAAGCATCCGTCCCTCTGCTCATCCTCAAGCATCCGTCCCCCTCCTCATCCTCAAGCATCCGTCCCCCTCCTCTTCCTCAAGCATCCGTCCCCCTCCTCATCTTCAAGCATCCGTCCCCCTCCTCATCCTCAAGCATCCGTCCCCCTCCTCATCCTCAAGCATCCGTCCCTCTCCTCATCCTCAACCATCCAACCTCCTGCCCAACCTCATCTATCCGTCCTCTTTTCTAATCTCAACCATCCGTCTCCTCCCCAAGTTTGGCGAGGAGGACGGGTGGTTGAGGTTGGAATGGAGGACGGATGCTTGAGGTTGAGGAGGAGGACGGATGGTTGAGGATGAGGAGAGGGACGGATGCTTGAGGATGAGGAGGGGGACGGATGCTTGAGGATGAGCAGAGGGACGGATGCTTGAGGATGAGGAGGAGGACGGATGCTTGAGGTTGAGGAGGAGGACGGATGGTTGAGGATGGGGAGAGGGACGGATGCTTGAGGATGAGCAGAGGGACGGATGCTTGAGGATGAGCAGAGGGACGGATGCTTGAGGATGAGGAGGGGGATAGGTGGTTGAGGTTGGGGAAGGGAAGGATGGATTAAGTTGAGAAGAGAGGATCGAATGTTGAAGTCAACCATCCGTCATCTCCCCAACCTCAACCATGATGAATAAGATAAATTAATAAATGATTCTAAATCCTATGAACAAGTGAAATTATTATAAACCCTAAGATTATAATAAGAGTAATCATCGTGATTGGTCATACACGTGTAGATGCATCTCTCTTGATTGTGTACTGTAATTTGCTGATGGCTTGTGCCATCTTTCGGCATAAATATCAACTTATACTATATATATAATTTATAAACTAAATATATAATTAATTGCTTATTTTATAGATGCACTATATAATTTATAGTTATATTTTCAAGATATATTTTTCTTTCAATTTATCAAACTGTTCAAAGTACAATTCAACCTTTGCACTATTATTTCATAAAGACATTTCAATTCATATATTTAATCTATGTAATGGGTTTTTATTCATATGAACAACTTCTTCTTGCAGTTTTACAATAATATCTAATTAAAAAAATTAAATTTGAAGTCCTGAGATATCATTCAACCAGCATGTATCATCCACCAAGCATGTAATTTTCAAAATTTTGTTTTCAATCAGAAATAATGTAATATATTTTTTTGTCTCAATATATAATAATTATTTAAAATATGTATATAATAATATATATATATGAATAGTATTTATTATTAAGTTGTTAACGTGATAATCCTGTTGAAGGACTGACAAATCCGAAAGTTTTAAAATAAAAAGTTGCATAAGAAACTTAACCCTTGAAGCTTCATTTATTTTATAATAATATCTAATGTTTAACAATCTACTTTAAAAGTTATTCTGAAGAAAAACTTATAAAACAAAATACGATAATACACCACTATCATCTTGAAATCCAATCAACCCTATTTTACACAATTTTAAAATAAAATGGTAAAAAACAATTAAAATAGTCAAAAGACACATTTACATATTTAGTAATTTAGATTATTTATGAGATTCCATAGATCCATTGTCTAGGAATAAATAAGAAAAAAGATTTTTCTATTATTTACTACAAGCCAATATACTGTTAATTTTAAAGCGTTGCTGGGAAAACCCAATTACAGGCGTTACATTGACATCGGGCGTGAAAGCTTGACCCAATTATCATAACAATACCAAATATTTGACAGACGTCTTTGCTAACCTAATTTTCATTATAATCTAATTCTCGCTTCGCGATGGAATTAATTCACAATTTAATATGAACCAGCTAATATTGTCCATTCGAAATGGGTTGACAGTTAGAATTTGTGTCTATATATTGAAAGCCCTACTTTTATAGAATAATTTAATACATCTACGCTCTCTATCACAAATAGAATGTTTTAAAACCAGAGAATACCTTAGTCAAACTAACCTATTAAAGCGTATACAGTTCCATCCAAATTTTATAGTCACTCAATTTGTCACATCACACGGCCAGAAATACTTACATTAAAGAGGTCTATCAGAAACACCAAATTGTTCCTGCGGAGAAACTAAAAGAACTCAAATTAACTTAGTCAAACTAACTTATTTAAGCGTATACAGTTCTATCCAAATTTTATAGTCACTCAATTTGTCACATCACACGGCCAGAAATACTTACATAAAAGAGGTCTATCAGAAACATCAAATTGTTCCTGCGGAGAAACTGAACAAACTTCACCTTATCTATGACTGTCCGAACTTTACAGAAGTGAGATTGTTCCCTGATCTAAATGATTTAACTCTCTTACATCAGCCACTTTGTCTATATAAATTTTATGAACTCTGTCGAAAAATACATGTAAATTTTTAATTATAAGTTCTAATTTGTTTGTTGTTTTGTTTGTTTTTATCTGTAATAGACGTAAATATTTCAATATCGCTACTGATTGATTAATAAATGAAATAAAATTAATGTATTTCGGTTTGATATAAATAATAAATATATAACCTCATAACGCCTAGAGAATATATAAATGTATATTAGTTTCATTTTGTTTCATTGGATTGATATAACAACCTGTATATACATATCAAGTTTCATGATATATCATTATTTCCTTTTTTTCCATATGTATTACTTTCTATTTCAACTAGTGTATATATATGTTATATTAAAATATTATTTTATTTGAGAGAAATTATATTTCATAGTTTCAAATACTTTGTTAAATCGACCGCCAGAGGTCACGCTTCCCCTATATAAAACCGATTGTTGTTGTTTCCCGATGGCCGGCTCAAATCTTTTGTGCATTATGTAAATAGGTTTAATTTTTTGTTCTTACGCCTTAAGCCAGGCAGTACTTTTATCAAATTATGTTTTTATATATTCCATAAGCTCAATTAAATCTATTTTTGATCTTTACTATTGTTATTATACTTTCAAGATTTTAACCACGACATAGCATAATCCTCAATATAACCAAAACCAAGCCGAAAATCTTTTTATTTATATAATATACTAGACGAATGACCCAAGCAACGCCCGGGTTTACCCGATTAAATGTTTTATTCAAACACTATTCGTTACAATTATAAATTGGCGCCGTGGATGTCACTCTTGTGAAACGTCCCGCTCCAAATTTACAGTTAGATTAGTTACGATATAAATCTTCAAATCGAGCGAGCGTCTATAAATATTTCGATTTAGATCAAGTATTCTAATTATTAAGCGAACTATTATTAATAACATTTTGAGAAGATTTCGATTTTAAACGTATTTATAACCTTGATAGAGGGCGCTGTTCGTGAGCTAAGTAGAATAATTTGAATATATAGTTTTAATATTTAATTTATATATAATTTAAAATAGCCTATCGTTATCCTCGTATTTTTTTACCTATGAATGGAAATTTTGGTTTGAATTAGTGAACTACTGCGAATTTGTATACCGGACATACAAACCAACAAACAAACAAACAAACATACAAAAATTCATTTTTATATATATAGAAGATATAATATAAATGAGTTTTAAAATTTTTTAAAAAAAAATGCATCGGCCGATGCATTTTTTTTTTTACAATTTTTAAAACTAATTTATAAAAAAATATAATATAAATATATACTATTATATCTCTATATATATAAAAGTCAATTTCTGTCTGTCTGTCTGTCTGTTTCGCGATAAACTCAAAAACTACTGAACCAATTGGTACCAAATTTTGCATGTCGCTTTTTATAAACCTGAGGAAAATATTTGTATACAATTGCTTAGTATTTTTGGCTATTTCTTTTTTTCATTTGAAGAACTTTTTTTTACGCGGAGTAATCCGGAATGGAATGAATACCCAAATATGGCCATTTTGTATACGCATTGGTGGCTCAGTGGTAGAATGCTCGCCTGCCACGCGGGCGGCCCGGGTTCTACCACTAAGCCACCGATGCTTTTAAAAAAATGGCCATATTTAGGTATTCATTCCATTCCGGATTAGTCCGAGTAAAAAAATAGTTCTTCAAATTAAAAAAAGAAATAGTCAAAAATAATTAGCAAAATGTAGCCAAAAATTTTCCTCGGGTTTATAAAAAGCGACATGCAAAATTTGGAACCAATTGGTTCAGTAGTTTTTGAGTTTATCGCGAAACAGACAGACAGACAGACAGGAATTGACTTTTATATATATAGAGATAATCTAAAGTTCAAATAATTAATATTAAAAAAACATGTACATATTTTATTTTCATAATTGACTATTAATTTATTTTTGACCATAGATTTAGAACATAACACTTCGAATATTGTTGTAAATATGTATAGTTGACCTACCTAAATTTTTAAATTCACTAATATAAGATTCATTTTATAAATTTTATATTACTGTGAAAAATAATTTTATGTATAATTTACTTCAAGTAATTCAAAATAAAAATTACTTGATGGGTAAATAATTATCTGTCCTATTTTCACGACAGAACCTTCAATTCTCTATCTTTTTCAACAACAAAACAAAATATTCATAACATATATATGTTTTCTACTGAGATTATAAACAAAAAAACATTCTTTTTTTCTTTACAATCTTCATCTCTATATTTGCTTTCTTCTTTAGAACACTTTTATATTCATATTCTTCTTCTTTATATTTATATTCTATAGAATCTTTATCTACATTCTTCTTTTTCTATAATATTTATCTATATTCTTATTCTTTTTTACTCATTTTTAAATTAAAAATAATATATTTCTTAAAATATACATCAACTTATATGATTTACATATATTAATTTTTCTTTATTTCTTACTTTCGAACGTTATTTATTTAAAAAGAGCTTCTTCTTCTTATTTTTTTTTTAAATCGAAAAATGAACCTTTAAACATGTATTAATTCGAATATAAATGAATTATTTGAAATGTATATCCATTAGAATATAAATGAACTTTTTGAAATGTATATCAAATCGAATATAAATTAACTTCTTCAATGTATCAATTCGAATATATAAATTAACTTTTTGAAATGTATATCAATTCGATTTTAAATTAACCTTTTGAAAGGTATTAAGTCGATTATAAATAAACTTCTTGAATGTATCAATTCGAATATAAATTAATTTTTTGAATGTATCAATTCGAATATATAAATTAACTTTTTGAAAAATGTATCAATTCGAATATTAAATAACATTTTGAATGTATCAATTCGAATATATAAATTAACTTCTTGAATGTATCAATTCGAATATATAAATTAACTTCTTGAATGTATATTAATTCGAATATAAATTATCTTTTTGAAATATATCAATTCGAATGTAAATTAACTTTTAGAAATATATCATTTCGAATATTAATTGACCTTTTTGAAATATATCACTTTGAATATAAATGAAATTTTTGAAATATATCAATTCGAATATAAATTAACTTTTTGAAATTTAGCAAATAAAATATAAATTATCACTAAATTCACTTTTTCCAATATAATTTATATATATCTAGTTTTCTCTAAATTTCGAACGTTAGGCTTAATATTTTCAGAATTTTAATGATCTTTCCGTATCCCGGCGCTGCCACCATGTTATATATATTATAATGTTTCTATTTAACCTTTAGCCTTATTTAAAGATATATTTATAATATAGTTACAGTCTGTATGTGCACCACGCTAGATGAATTACATATTTATTATGGCTCAATTGATTATACTAACAGTGTTGCTGGATCTTTATATTTACACAGATTATACTATATACAACATATATATGTTGAAAACCAAGCAATCCACTTTAAATGTAGTACGCTTTTTTTTTTTTTTTTGATTGAATGTTTATTACAATTTTCAATATTCCGATGAAGGAGTTCGCCTATCTTCATCGGGGGAATTCATACCTTGTAAACATCCACGTGAAGTGGCAAGTGTTTGTATAAGACAGATTGGTGTGAACAAATTTATTATTATATATTTTAAATATATTTCTATTGAAAGATTTGGCCACACCAACCAGCCTTATACAAACCCTCGCAACTCGTGCATCACGTGGTTAATTTCTTTTCAAAGTTTGAATTCAAAGACTTCGCCGATATGTTTTCTTCTCTAACTTCAAGCAAACGTTCCTCCTCCTCATCCTTAACCATCCGTCCCCTGCTCATCCTCAAACATCCGTCCCCCTGCTCATCCTCAACCATCCGTCCCCCTGCTCATCCTGATGCATCCGTCCCCCTCCTCATCCTCAACCATCCGTCCCCTACTAATCCTCATGGATCCGTCCCTCTCACCATCCTCAACCATCCGTCCCTCTCACCATCATCAACGATCCGTTCCTTCTCACCATCTTCAACCATCCGTCCCTCTCACCATCCTCAACCATCCGTCCCTCTCACCATCCTGCAGCATCCGTTCCTCTCCTCATCCTCAAACCTCCGTTCCTCTTCATCCTCAAACCTCCGTTCCTCTCCTCATCCTCAAACCTCCGTTCCTCCTCCTCCTCTAGAATCCGTCCTTCTTACCATCTTCAACCATCCGTCCTCTCCTCAACATCCTCAATAATCCATCCTCTCCTCAACATCCCAAACATCCGTCCTCTCCTCACCATCTTCAACCATCCGTCCTCTCCTAAACATCCTCAAACATCCGTCCTCTTCTCAACATATTCAACCATCCGTCCCCCTGCTCATCCTCAAAAATCCGTCCTCTCCTCATCTTCAACCATCCGTCCTCTCCTCATCCTCAAATATCCGTCCTCTCCTCATCCTCAAGCATCCGTCCCTCTCCTTATCCAAGCATCTGTGTTCCTCCTCAATCTCCATAATTCTGTCCTCCTCAATTTCAGTCAACCGCCCTCCTTCCGAAAATACGCTTCTCATCTTCCTCCGTATTCAGAAATCCGTTACCTCTCCAATTTCAACCATCAGTCCCTCTCACAAACCTCAACTCATCTGTTCCTCTCCCAAACTTCACTCATCCGTTCTCCTTACCATCCTCAAGCATCCACCCCCCTCCTCTTCCTCAAGCATAAATCCTCCTCCCCCTTCTCATCCTCAAGCATCCGTCCCCCTCCTCATCTTCAAACATCCATCCCCCTCCTCATCCTCAAGCATCCGTCCCCCTCCTCTTCCTCAAGCATCGATACCCCTCCCCCTACTCATCCTCAAGCATCCGTCCCCCTCCTCATCCTCAAGCATCCGTCTCTTTCCTCATCCTCAAGCATCCGTCCCTCTGCTCATCCTCAAGCATCCGTCCCCCTCTCTTCCTCAAGCATCCGTCCCACTCCTCATCCTCAAATATCCGTCCCACTACTCATCCTCAAATATCCGTCCCCCTCCTCATCCTCAAGCATCCGTCCCTCTGCTCATCGTCAAGCATCCGTCCCCCTCCTCATCCTCAAGCATCCGTCCCCCTCCTCATCCTCAAGCATCCGCCCCCCTCCTCATCCTCAAACATCCGTCCCTCTGCTCATCCTCAAGCATCCGTCCCTCTGCTCATCCTCAAGAATCCTCCCCCCTCCTCTTCCTCAAGCATCCGTCCCTCTGCTCATCCTCAAGCATCCGTCCCCCTCCTCATCCTCAAGCATCCGTCCCCTTCCTCATCTTCAAGCATCCGTCCCCCTCCTCATCCTCAAGCATCCGTCCCCCTCCTCATCCTCAAGCATCCGTCCCTCTCCTCATCCTCAACCATCCAACCTCCTGCCCAACCTCATCTATCCGTCCTCTTTTCTAATCTCAACCATCCGTCTCCTCCCCAAGTTTGGCGAGGAGGACGGGTGGTTGAGGTTGGAATGGAGGACGGATGCTTGAGGATGAGGAGGGGGATGGATGCTTGAGGATGAGGAGAGGGACGGATGCTTGAGTATGAGGAGGGGGACGGATGCTTGAGGATGAGGAGGGGGACGGATGCTTGAGGATGAGCAGAGGGACGGATGCTTGAGGATGAGGAGGGGGATAGGTGGTTGAGGTTGGGGAAGGGAAGGATGGATTAAGTTGGGGAGAGGATCGAATGTTGAAGTCAACCATCCGTCATCACCCTAACCTCAACCATCCGTCTCATCTCCCCAACCTCAACCATGATGAATAAGATAAATTAATAAATGATTCTAAATCCTATGAACAAGTGAAATTATTATAAACCCTAAGATTATAATAAGAGTAATCATCGTGATTGGTCATACACGTGTAGATGCATCTCTCTTGATTGTGTACTGTAATTTGCTGATGGCTTGTGCCATCTTTCGGCATAAATATCAACTTATACTAAATATATAATTTATAAACTAAATATATAATTAATTGCTTATTTTATAGATGCACTATATAATTTATAGTTATATTTTCAGGATAATTTTTTCTTTCAATTTATCAAACTGTTCAAAGTACAATTCAACCTTTGCACTATTATTTCATAAAGACATTTCAATTCATATATTTAATCTATGTAATGGGTTTTTATTCATATGAACAACTTCTTCTTGCAGTTTTACAATAATATCTAATTAAAAAAATTAAATTTGAAGTCCTGAGATATCATTCAACCAGCATGTATCATCCACCAAGCATGTAATTTTCAAAATTTTGTTTTCAAACAGAAATAATGTAATATATTTTTTTGTCTCAATATATAATAATTATTTAAAATATGTATATAATAATATATATATATGAATAGTATTTATTATTAAGTTGTTAACGTGATAATCCTGTTGAAGGACTGACAAATCCGAAAGTTTTAAAATAAAAAGTTGCATAAGAAACTCAACCATTGAAGCTTCATTTATTTTATAATAATATCTAATTTCTGAACGGTAAAATCTTCCCAATTACATGCTTGGTAAGGACAAAAATTCAGGAGATGAGTTTCTTTCAACACTTTATTAGAACATCAAGCTTTCGGGCACAGCGTGGCCCTTCTACAGGATCAAAGGTATAAGAAAAATGATACACTATATACACGAAGAATAAAT